AAAAAAAAAAAAAAAAAAAAAAATGTGGAAGAAAGCGCAACGGGAGGAAGAGAGAACGGAAATAACAAGTATAGGACTGCAATGGGTGGAAGAGAGAGAACTGTATTCTACAATGGATAGGAGAGAGAGGACAATAGGTTAAAGAGAGAACGGGTGAGAGAGAGAAGGAACGAACCCTCCCCCTCTACCATGGACCCCAGTGACTTAACAAATATTTAGAAATCCAAACAGTTTGGAATACTTATTACAATAAATTTTCCTATGCCAAACATTCTATTGTACTTATTTCATTATTCGCACTCATTCCTCAAAATTTCTGAATTTTTCATACTTAAGGTCGCGTGAAGGTCATGGTATTATAGGCCATTGGATTCGTCTGGGCCTCAGCTATTACGCTATAATGATAAAAATATGTAATCGTATTTAAAAAAATATCGATGACCTTGAAGGCTCTCAAAATATGACCTTGAAAAAGAAATATAATGTAGGTCCCTTCGAAAACCAAACAATTTCTTCCTTAGGCATTTTCGCGTATCACTAAGAGTAACGGAGATATTGCCTTGTAAGAGACTAGTTGTCTTAGTTTATGATAGTTAAAAAAATAGTTAATAAATAATAACAAAAAGTTAATTCTACTAGGAGATATTTTTAAGAAAAATCCAAAAGCATGTGAATATGATAAAAGAAATTATGTGATAATTTCAGTTATAAAATAACAACATAAAAATGTTGAAAATTTAAGCGCTGAAATTTCACTAATTACAATTTATTAAAAATAATTAAATGTTCTTAAAGAAATATATTTTTTACTAGAGAAATAACGCATAAATTGATTGAGAAAAAAAGGAAAAAATATTTGATAATTAATAATTAATAAAAAACAATGATAAATATTTTAAATTATTAAAAGTATTATTGTAAAAATCGCTGAAAGTTCAAACATAATCCTAATATTGGGTATGGGAATAAGTTTCCGCCCTTTTTTAATGAAAAAGATGTATTTATTTAAACAAAACAATACAAAATAAGTTCATTCAAAGTATGCTCCATCAGAAGCGACAACTTTCCCCCACCTTTCAGGTAATAAACAGATTCCTCGAAGGAAGAAATCTGGTTCTTTTGAAGCGATCCATTTATCAAGCCATTTTTTGATATCTTCATAAGAATTGAATCGCTCTCCAGAAAGGGCCGACAGCATGGACCGGAACAAATGAAAATCTGAAGGAGCAATGTCCGGTGAATACGGCGGGTAGGGCAGAATTTCCCACTTCACTCCTTCCAAGTATTTCTTGACCGGTTTTGCAACGTGTGACATAGCGTTGTCACGTAGCAGAATCAGCTTATCATGCCTATTGTCCCATTCCTATTGTTTTTGTTTCAACGCTTAGTTCAAACAAATCGCTTCGAACGAATATCAACTACTGGATGCAACAGCTTGAACACACACCTTTCAAATACATGTATTGCCGTTTTATCAAACACACAAGCAGTGCTACTAACGACATCTCTCTAATGGGCGGAAACTTATTCCCATACCTAATAATTTATATTTAAGCACTTTTCATTTATTTACCTGGTTAAAAATTTCATGGAGTCGTTCAGTATTTGCACGCTTTAAATACCCCGAGGAACCCTGTAACATGATATTCAAAAGATAAAAGATATTAACATTAATTATTCTCTAATTATCGCAAAAAATACTTTTGAAATATATACCGGATGTTTAAAATAAAGCGTTACAAATTTTTATCTCGAAAACAGGGTATTATTGAGAAAATGTTCGGATAAAAGTTATAAGGTTCAAAAAGATCTATTTACTGATCTTATCAGTTTGACTTTGAGTGGCGTCGCCAAGATCAGGTCAAGGTCACGTCGAATTTTTAAAATGGAACTCCCTACTTATGATTCCAGAATCTAATAGTCGTATAGAGAGCTTCCCAAAACACTATAATAAAGTTATTTTTTTATTGAGTACTTTTCGATTTATGATGCTGATGGTTACAATACAGAATCAATACTAGAAAAATGCCTATTACGGTCGAAGCTGGATCTTCGTTGCTTTAAATAATTCAATCTTAAATTACTAATATACACTATATATGTACTTGCATATATGTATACCATATTGTAGTCTTTTCAAAATGCGCGCCGAATTGTTTTTCTGAACTATAAACGCAATTAAAACTCCTCTAATAATCGCGAATTGACAAGCAATTTAATAATTTGATGCTACCATCGAGCATCATATTATAAAGATGTTAATATGCTGAAACTGTTAATAAATTTATTGCGAAAAATATTACCTCGGTCGGGACTTGAACCCGGATCTCTTGTAGTCCGTACGATTTTGAAAAGACTACAATATGGTATATATGCAAGTATACAGGATGTCCGAAAAGTGTGGAAACGGTCGAATATCTCGATAAATACACATCGGATCAGAAATCTGTAAATACACGTATTCAATGTTTTCAAAAAAGCTATCTTTTGACATCTAACATGACCCCCCACCCCCACCCGCTGTAGGTGAAAGAGAGGGTAAGTTTAAAATTTTAAATGGGAACCCCCATTTTTTATTGCAGATTTCGCTTCTTCAGAAAAAGTTACATAAATTTTACCTATTACAAACATTTTTTTGATGACAGATGGCGCTGTAATCAGCGAAATTAAAAAATGAGTCTAAAACGTTTAAAATATCTCAAGAAATACTCAAAGGATCAAAAAAATAAAAATGTACGTATTCAATATTGTCAAGGGAGCTATCCATTGACACAAAAATTCTACCTCCCACCTACCATCCGCTGGGGGTGAAAGGGTAGGTAACTAAAATTTTAAATGAGAAACCCCCCCCCCCATGTTTTATTGCAGATTTCGCTTCTACAGAAAAAGTCGTATTAACCCTTTAACGCCGAGATGTGCTGAATTTCGACATGGATTTCAACCCCAAACAATAGCAGAAAAGAACGTAGACAAGTATCGGAAGGTCCATTTGTATGTAATAAGGTATCAAAAACGTGTTCCCAATAGTTAAACTTCGAAAACGTGTACTGTATACAATTTTCATTTTTCGATTTTGAGTTCACAATGGCGTCTATAAGCTCAAAATTTTTCGAAATTTTACGTACGGCGAGTAAATTTACAAAAAATATGCCCGAACTCGATTGAAACTTGTTACTCGGGGGTTTTTGAGAAGATTTTCCGGTGGGCAAGTCGTAGCAATGAGTTCAATGAATGTTCCATACTACTTAATACATATGTATTCATTAGAAATGTTTTTCTGTGCAAAGAGCCCTCCGCAGATGTGAAAATATCTTAGATGATGAAAGTCCCAATAATTTTATTGCACAAAATTCCAGCCTAAACATTAACTTTCTGTGTTTGAACTTTCATACATAT